AGCCTAGCAGGGCTGGGGTGCTAGGGGGGAAAGGATGAGTTGTCCACCGCTGGGGCTCTACTCCAACATGCAAACACCCCAAGAGCCCAGCTGCAGAAAAAGCATGCAAGGAGAAGCCACCACCCTTGGGCAACCCCTGGAGACACCCCTAGGCCCCTGGTCTGGTCCTGATCCCCGTGGCCATACCCCGGCCAAGTGGCAGATTGCAGCTCCTTGGTCAAGGGCTTGATTGTGGGCAGTTGTGCCTCAAGGAGGGCGACACGCTGCACGAGGTGCTGCAGGTCGCCTGCAGGGCAGGCGGGCAGAGGGTGCCGTGGCCATCCGACTGCCAGCCCTCATCCTCGTCGGTGAGGCTGTGGGCTGTGGAATCCAGGGCTTTGGGGTCTGGCGGAGGCCGCTCAGTGCCTGAGGTGTAGCCACTGGTCATGGAGACAGAGCGGGCACGGCGCTGCAGGCTCTGAATCACCTTGTTAGCATTGAGTAGCTGAGCCTTAAGGTCCTGGATGTGCTGGTGCAGGGCTCCCACGTCTGCCAAGGCCATGGCTTTCCGGGCAGCCCTGGACATCCCTGGCCGCCGCGGGGATTGCAGCTCCTCACCCAGGCTAGGCTCGCTGAACACATCCGGCTCTTCGCACTCTGCAGAGGGGACAGGGCACAGTGTCACTTCTCCATGCTGGGCGGGCAAGACACAGGGATTGCTGGAACCCCAGCTCTCCTTACCGGGGCTGGTGGTCTCATCTCGGTCAGCTTCGGTTTCACTTCGCCCACATGTCTCATAGCCCAGGTCCTGGAAGTCCACCTGCACTTGCTTGCTAAGCTGCTGGGCATGGGGTTCACCTGCTGGGCAGCACCATCAGCTCAGGGTCCCACTCCAGGTGGGATTCACCACCCTTACCCCAGGTACAGCACAGTGTGCAGGGTGTGCCGGGCTTGGCATGGATCTTCCCACCCCATCTGAGGTTTTAACTCACGGAGCAGGATGTGAAACTTCTCCAGCTGCTTGGCTTGTGCCCGCACCAAAAAAAAATCATGCAGCTCCTGCCACTCCCTTTGGCCTTGTGCCACCTGGGAGCACAGCTCTGCACCCAACCTTGGCCAGTCCCTGCCAGGGACCGTGTCCCTCGCCTGCCAGAGGGGAGACAGACTGTGAGCTCCTCATCCTCACCTCCATCTCCCTCCCACTCTCCTGCACCCAGAGCACTTACATGGCTTCCACTCCCTTTGCCCAGGGGTCCAGGGCAGGGTCTCTTGGGCATATCATCCTGGGATCGTGCCTCCAGTGCTGGGCGTTTGGCAGGCACAGCTTCCTTCTCTGCTGGGACACTCTGACCATCCTCGCTGCCACTGGCTGGGCAGTCCCCAAGGGCATTGCAGCTCTTCCGCCGCAGCTTGCGGGGCTCAGGGACCAGAGGGCTGCCCAGCCCAGCCTCCTCCTGCTCTCCACTCTCCAGTAGTGATGTGGCTTCACCCATCCGCTCCTTCAGCTCTGCGTTCTCCAGGCACAAGCTCAGCATTGCCTTTCTGGGGGCACAAGGAAGCCTGTGAAGGGCTGGCAGCAGCTGGGATGCAGGGTTCCCCCTAAAGCCACTGCCAATCGCTGGTTCCAGCATTCCAGGGCTCTTGCCTGATATGGGAGACGGAGGAGAAGCCGGCTTCCTCCAGCTGCGCCTTCAGCTCCCGCAGCTCCTCTTCCGCCCGCAGCTCCCGCTCCAGCACGTTCGGTGCCGTGCTCTCCATCAGGGTTCCTTCAGTGCCCCTGCTTTCCTTAGAAGCCCAGGGGCTGCTCTAGAGAGACAAAGACAGAGGATGACAGGGATGTTTCTAAAGGGGCCAGGACATGGCTCCGCACTAGTGCAGTGTCCAACTCTTCCACCCCTGGCCATGCCTCGGCACTAGTGCAGTGTCCAACTCTTCCACCCCTGTCCCCATGCCGCACTGCCCTGACTCACGTGCTGGGTTGCCGTGCTATGTGCTGCCTTCTCCTTGATGGTATCTGTGAAGTTGGTGCTGGCCTTATCAGCATCTGTGCCTGTAGCCTGACCTAGGGGGGAGCACAGCACAACAAGGCACTCAAAGCAGTGGCAACAGTGGCACTGCCACTGCTCCCTCTTCCTGCCACTGCGAGCAGTCCCAGGGCAGGTACCTGCTCTCATTCGTACCTGATGCTGGGACTGAGGTCTCCCCACTGCCCCTGTGTACTGCCACTCCCTCTCTGCGTACTGGAGCTCCAACACAGCACCCTGTGCTAGCCATGCACCAAGGGAGAGGACAGCCCCAGCTGCCCACAGCCCTGGGTATGGCACCCCAGCAACAGCATCTGCCCCGTTGGCATCTCTGCCTTCACACCACCTGGTACTTGCTGCCCCAACACACGTACGTACGTGCCACTCACCCTACAGCCACTCCCAAGCGACAGCCAGCGGCACATCCTCAGTCAAGGAACCTCGCTGGCACTGCCCTAGCCTGGCAGGAGGGTTGAGGTGCCCCCCACATCATCACCTGCCCAGTCAGGGGCAGTTCAGGGAGGGCACTAACAGCCACCCTGTCCATGTTGCCCAAGCCCTGCTGTCATGCACAGCACTGGGCTTTTTGCAAGACCTGCACTGACCTGACAGATCTAAAGGGACGTTTGCATCCCATACCGCAGCACACAGGGGACTTGAGCCCATTCTGCCCCACAGAGCTGAGCTGGGGGCATGTTTTCCTGCTTGCAACATAGCTCTGCTCCTGGCCCCTTGGTGCAAAGCCCCAGGGCAAGGGCTTGCAGCCCTTGTTTGTGCAGCTTTCCTTCCCACCAGCCTGCTCTGCTTAGGCTCAGACTGCCTGGGCTGGGACACAGGCATACTCCCAATCCCTCTTCTCCTCAGGGAGATGGGAGCTTGGACAGGTCCCGGGACCATGCCTGGGGCTGCACAGGGCCAGGTTTCACAGCTGCCCATGCCCTGGAGGAGTTACAGCCGCTTATGCCTGTGGGTCAAACCCATCATCATCAGGCCTGGACCTCCCAGGCAAGGCTGAACATGGAGCAGGGGAACACAGGGAAATCCTGGCAGGAGAGACCAAACACATCTGGTGAAGGAGAAGCCAGCAGGGAAGCATATGGCTTCTGGAAGGAAGAGCCAAGGACCAGCCAGGAGCATGCCTTACAGCAGGGCAGGTGGTTGCACTGCACACATAGATGGTGGCCCACTCATGACAAGCAATGTGACCAAAAACCAGGGGCACCTCACTGCCAAACCTGGGCAGACATCATCCTGCACGGCAGACCCTGTTCACCAAAGCAGCCGTGCCCCAGGGAGCAAGTACAGCCATCCTGGAGAAGTACTGTTCCAGGAGCAAGAAGCAGCTGGAAGCAGCAGCAGCACCCATGGGTGGCATCCAGCACTGCCAAAGCACAGACCTGCGAGCCCCCAGGGACAGAACCTGCCTGGTGACAAACCATCCAGGGCTACAGCTCAATGCCTGCAGGGCCCCAAATGTTGAGGGGGTGCAGACTCTCTGCTGCAGGCTTTGCTGGCAGAGCTGAGAGCCACATGCACATGGTTCCCAAGCTAGGAGGCCGGCACGGGAA